GCTCATCTGTCCTACAAAGCTCCCACAGAGATTTATAGACTAAAAAGGAAGAAGGGAACAGCTGAAAATAAATTTTTAATTGTTTTATGACTGTATTAGTATTACTTTGGCATACATTTTTAGTTGTATACAGCTCTCCATGGATGTTTACAAAATGACCTGACCAGATAAGGTGACAAAACAAATAGCGTATTTAATAGCTTTTTTTTTCCTTAACAGCTGGCAAAAAGATCCAAAAAACCAAAAAGCCCCCAAACTCAACATTCTGTTAAAAACCACCATGTTCTATTATGTTTTGCTCTATTCTGTTTCCCCGCCAATTTCCAACCTTCTGCTGGAAACAGTGATGAAGAACACATGTCTGCAGTAAATTACACCCATGAGAAATCTTGAAACTGTTATATTCAGTTTTATTACCCAAGGCATTAAGATAGTCTACCACAACACATATTATTAACTGTTCTATCAAATGCAACAACACAATATACTTGTATACCATTACGCATGTAAAAAACATACTAGATTTCTTATTCTCATTGCGTGACTAACCTGTTGCATTTTCATTTTAATTAACAGTTACAGGATGTTTTTAGTGCTTCAGTAAAATCAGGTGTTACATAACTGCAAAATGCTATTGTACACCACATTTTTGGAAAACATATGCTGAGGCAATGATAAGGCTGAAAAGCCTAACACTCAAAAGCCAGAAAATTCAAAGTGCTTATGCTTCTTTCACAATATAAGCTCATGCAAGTGCTGTGTCTGAACATATTTTACAGGCTGCTGTAATAATCTAGGCTACATGAGGGAAATTTAGTGTGGTAAAGCTATGTGGATGCACTAACATCTCTGAGAAAAACTTTCTTTTCCACTATGCAAATATTGATCAAATTTAATTAAGTTACAGATAAAATTAGACAACAGTATAAGCACCTCCTGTGCACTGATGAGCTGCATCTTTCGGGGAAGGTTGCATTAGTTCTGTGAGGTAGTCACATCACTGGAAATCTCCTACAGGCCTATCTATGTTCAGGCAAGTATAAGTTAGTTTACATTAAACAATGCAGTAATAAAAGACACTTCATATAAAACTGACAATTATTTGGACCAATGATTTGACCTCACAACCTTAATAAAGGTCAAAAATGATTTTGCAAGGGTTTTGCATCTTATTTCCCAAGTGACTTTAAGGGAACAAAAAAAGAAAATAAAAACGTGGATCTGTCAGAGTACACACCTTCTGTGCTTCACAGAGAAGAGGAAGGCCAAAGGTTTAGGCAGCAGTTCAGGACCACAGCTGAGATCTGGCTTTTAATTTCAGCTTAAATCAGCTTAGAAACAAAGAAACAGTCTTCATACACTGTTAGGTCCTATCTAAAACCAAAATATCAGGCACAAGATGTATCGGGAAGCAGAACACAGTCCTCTCTGTTCAAATAGATCTACATTAATATCTGAAAATGTACATAATATTCTTCTTCTGTAAGACCCCCAATGAATCACATAAGGCTGAGAGCGCCAGCCCATTCCATGGACTGCAAACTGAGACCCAGAGAGTTACTTGCACAATATCATATAGACAGTCCTCCTTACCTCATTAACACTTACTCATCATGTGCAAGATTAACTGAAGCTATATTTTTCTAATCCTCTGTGATGGTTAGGTCATACAATGAATGAAGCAATGGCTCACAGAAAATATACTACGCAATCATGAATTGAAGACTGTACTATAGCGTACACAGGAGTCAAATTATGGTTGTATAGGAAACAGAAATACTGGCATTTCTCAACTTTGAAGTGCTTGGCTTTGCAGTCTAAATAGTATTACTTTTGTATGGCTATTTAAAGGCAAAAATGAATTTTGCTATCTTTCACTACAAGAAAAACTGTACAATCATTAGCAGTGCTTGAAACTTGAACCTGCCACTCTGTTTTCCTTTGAGCTACCTGATAATACAAGATTTACTGCAGAATGCATGTTGAATATTCAGGGACTCCAGGCCCACATGGGGACCTGAAGGCAAGGAGTGAGCCAACAAGCAATATTCTGAATTTGCAAAGTATTCTGGTCTGGGTTTCTTTTCCTGACAAGTCCAATTTAACATTCGTCCTATAACTTGTCTTGGTGGAACCCTCAAAATAAGACATCATGAACATTTGGCTTTGTTCTGACCATGATAGAGAGACTCCAAGAATTATTAAAATTGATTTTGGTCTAATTAACTTTTGTAGCCATTCAAAGGCAAAACAGGTTTGCTTTTGTTTTGGATTTAAGGTAAAACAAGGACAGGACATTCCATTTGGAACACAACCAACCCAGATCCATGGATGTTGTTAACTAGCAGAGCTGGGCTGACTTCATGGAAATAGGCCAACTTGTATTTGCTAAGAGGAATATTCTGCAGTTAATAGCGCGTTCTGCTGTAAGATGGAGATGTCCCAGCGTTATGGCCACTGAATTATTGTACAAAAGGGGAAACCGGTGCTCAATTCACCATCTTTCAGTCATGTTATAAAGTAAGAAAGTACTCCTGCAATGCTTTTGAAAGAAAGTTTGTAGGTGCTCAGCATGCCGGTACAGTTCTGACTTGCTTCGCTTCACAACGAGTGAGCGCACGGGGGACAGGGGCATGGGGGAACACAATTTAGCACACAGACCTAGCATAACACAAGTCAGATAGGAGTATTTCTAAGGCTGCTGGTGTTTTCCAGTCTTCTCAATTCAACTGTTCAGTGAATACAGCAAACTGCAAATTCAGCACATTCCACTAATGCTGAGACAACAATCCACTGGATAAATAAAGGCTTGAAGGCTACTGAAGAGTTATTATTAGAAATTTCCTTTCACATTTCCTCCTAAGATATTCTTATTTTTGGCCACTACAATAAGCTTTACTCAGTATTTTTGTCTTGTTTTATGGATAGGTCAAATGAACTGCCACCTCTAAATAAAATGTAAAAGCAAAGAATGCTGCTAAGCCCCCAAAAGCAAGGAGGAATACTTGTGGAAAAATACTTCCACACACTTGTGGAAAAAGCACAGATACCGTTGTGCTAACTACCCAGATAAAGAAATAGAAGGTTGCAAGGAAATTGGTTTTGTGTTATGCAATTAACTTCACAATGACGTTTGATCTAAAGCCTTCTGTGCTTTAACACATTAAGATACTTCAAAAAACCCCCCCCCATCAACCTGATATTTTATAACATTTGAACTTCCAAAGCAGCCCATACAAATCACTTGTGTGCGTAAGTGTGTGATAAAGTTGCAGGTCCATAGTCTGATGTCCCACATAATAACAGAGCAAATACTTAACGCATAAGGAGGCGAATGCTGTACTTCAGACACCATGCTTCAAACGGTCAGCCCACTATATAAAGAGAGAGAACTAATTTCATTCCATAAACTGAAGAACCTTTGTACTGAAACACTCATTCACCTGCTCCTCTCCCCAGAGAATGAGAGAGAAGACCCAGGTATTTGCTCTTGTTCAGGAAACCTACACACAGACACTGGAAATCAAGCATACGAGTATACCGATGAAGAATTAGCAATGACTGACAGCTTAGAACTTTGAAATGTAACATAAGGCAATGTAATGTAAGCACAACGTGTATTTCGCTCTCCATTCGTGCTTGCAACTAGACAGCCTGAGACCACAGAGGCAACAAGGGAAGTTTCTGTGCACATAGGCATGCAGCTAGCTTCTCTTTGGTTCCTAACTACCTTTCTAGAAACTTCAAGTTTTCCCACATTTTTCTCAAGAACAACAAAGAAAAAGTGATAAAGCAGCCATTCAAAACATTGATTAACATAGGAAAAAAGGCAAAATATGAAAATGGAGTTTTAGAAAAGAGGGTTTGGACTGCACTATGTCCAACAGAGGTGATACCACTGAGATTGTGAGGGAAGTACCTGCAGCACACAAGATGTGTGCAGCACACTGAGAAACAGCAGAGCAGCAGTCTGCAAGAGATATCGAATACCACCAGGCATATACAGCTATACACTACTGGAGGCATCGTCACAAGGAGTATTAAAATAAAGGCACAGTGCAGGTACGACTGGACTTACCCATTCTACAGTAAGAGTCTCGTAACCATTAAAACGTTTTACATTCAAAGCAACAGCAGGCCAGCCAGAACACACCTGTATGCTGAAGCATAAGTGTCCACAGGGAATAACACCAGAATAAGCAAAAGCAGTGTTATTCCACTGCCTGTGAGATTCCCCACTAAGGCAAATTCTTGGCAAAGGCTCTCAACTGAAAGCTCCTGGAGACATTTTGATTTATGTTTGCATGTTCCCTACCTCAAAGGTGACCTGGTCAACGACCTGCTCACTATTATTAAGTATCAAGATAACTGACATCAGGAAGTGAGCTCTCTTCCTCCATTCAGATATGCCACCCGCAAGCTACAGTTTATTCATTTTTATAACCATTTTTAACAATTTTCAAATATGTGACAACAGCAGCAAGAGGTTAGGCTTTCCTGTTCCATGAGCACTCACCTAAAAAAGGGCTTAGCATGTTGTTTTTAAAAGCTAATGTTCATGTTGTTTCAGCAAAAAGCTCAGTGTTAGTTTTAGACACATTTCTTCTTTTATGCCAGACAGGGCAGCTCCCAGGATTCACAAAACAACTGTGGTTCACTGAGCATGTTTCCAGGATTACTTTTGACTTCACAAGGACAACTTTGCACTGATCAATGAAAGAAATTGTTGAAAAGATTACCTAACAAAAACACACAAATTTAGCCAATCTTTAACAAAAAGAACAGATTGCAGACCTTTCATCAGACTCAGCACTATTCAAGTACAGCCTGTCAGCATTTGGCATATATGAACATCAGAGATGGAAGAAAACTACAGGAAATCCTTGTGCTTGCTCACATACCTTCTGCACCAAAGACAAGTCAGGCTTCTTTTACATGCTTCTCCTAGTTCTAGTTTTCATAGTCACCCGATTTCTCACCACACTGAAACAGAATCTTACCTGTTATTTTCTGCAACAAAGGAGAAGGTTCTGGCTCATCACAAATAGCCCTGACTAGAGCCTTTTTCACCTCTTCTTCAGCTTCATCCAGCTCTTTTCCACCTTTCATTTCTCCAACCACAGAATACATGTATACCAGCAGAATAAGGAAGTCCTCACAGGTGTAATCATCTTGTGTCCTCTCATTGTAAGACTTGATCATTGGCAATAACTGTTTCAAAACACTGGGCATTTCTGACTCTCCAATAGTCTGAAAAATAGAAGGAAGATTGTGTCAGATTCCCTCTGTGGTGCTTATTGGTTAATGCTGCCTGTATCCTGAAGAGGTATTATTTCTGCAACAGAGATAATCTCTTCATCTCAAATAATCTCTCTGGAGTAAAAGGAGAGACTAAAACAGCTAGGACTTTTCAGTTTGGAGAGGTAAAGGCTGAGAGGGGATATGACTGAAGTTTACAAAATGACAGATGTGGGGAATAAGCTGAATGTAGAACTACCGTTCACCAAATATTGCAATACAAAAACTAACACGGGACCAAATCAACAGGTTCAGAAAGAGATTAGACAGATTCATGGATGACAGGTCTATAAACGACCATTAGAAGGGCTAGTGAGTGAGGTGCCCCCCAGCATCCCTAGTATACCAGCTTTGGCTTTTGGGAGAGTACAAAGAGAACAGACAGCAGAAAGGGCCCAGACTTGTGCCCACTCCTTAAAAGGCATCTGCCACTGCCACTGTCAGAGACAGAGCACATGGTTAGAAGAACCACGGGCCTGTTTCAGCATGCGAGGTGACAAGTCCATTCTTGGTTATTGTAGGTACAGCTATAGCACCCTGCAGAACAGACAGAACTGGACCTTAGGAAACAGTAGCACTGGGTTTACAACATAAATTCAAACTACTCCTTATTTTAATGAGAACTACTTTTAGCAGACAATTCCTCTTTATTACGTACACAGAAATCACATTATTTAAACTGCAAGAGAGAGCGTTGCTCAGATTTAGAGCCAACATCAACAGCTAGCCAGGATTAGGCCCGCCTGTGCAATAGTAAACGGTGTCCTTGTGTATGCTTTACAAAAGTGCTTAGTCACAAATTCCCAAGGTTTTTCCCTATTGAACTCCTGCCTCATTCAGCGCACAGAGTAGCCGCTGTTCATTTAATGAACAGTTATTCAATATTTGCATTTTCCTCATTTGTTCAGCACATGGTCCCCTGACCTATTTGCTGCTCAGAAAGCAAATTCATTAGTTTCCTTATTTTTTTTCCTACTTATAATGGCAGTAGGTTAGCACTTGATAAACTTTAATGATTAAACCTGCTCTATGTACCAGCAAGATCAGAGAGCTGGAGCATCAGTCTTTTCTGTATGGGCAAAATGGTACAAAGCACAGGGTCAAAAGCTTCCTCGAAATTTCAGGTCTCCACCTTGATCTTACCTTGGGCCTGGGTTTGTACTTGAGCAGGAAGTTGGAAGCCCAGCTCCCTTTGGCTTCAGTTGCTATTGTGAGCTCTCAGCCCATCTGCAAACCTGACCCTGTGGCTTCAGGTCAGAAATGCAGAAAATTAGAAGTAGAGGGAAGCACCTGTGAAACACCAAGTTGAATTGACTGGCTTGGTTTCTCAGAGGACCTCTATGGCAGGAGTGAGGACAGGGTGTATTTCTCCAGGGCAGCAGTCACCTGCCTCACACGTGCAGTGATCCTCTCCTCCCTCTGCAGCCCCTGCCTCCTTCACAGGACGCGCTCTAGCTTCTGCAACTGATGCAACAGATCGCTGCTACTCAAGCTAGCAGAGTAACTAATAATGTCAGTGAACTGTCATCCTCGTTGTGCACACACACACACACCTACATATAAAATTTATAAACACACTGGTTTTCTGCTGCGAGTTAGTTTGCAGCTCATCAGTGGGCCTGGATGAGAACTGGCTTCAGCGCAAGGCGCACAGCAGGAGCACACTGCTTGGAGGAGGAACACCCAGAGGTGAAGCACAACCTTCCTCCCCTGGCAACTGCAAACTGTCCGGTCGACCCAAGAGGTCTTCTGCAACACACCCCTCAGTACCCTGTGCTTTGCCCTTTGATCACCAAATGGCTCCTCCTGAAAATGCGTGTACCAGTTCACAGAATAAAGCAAAACACTGCGTATCCTATAATCCAAAGAATCAAGTCTGCAAACATTTGCTCTTGGTTGTTACTACAGTACTTCAAACAGACTACTCGTGGTAATAAGCACCACAGCCAATAACACACCCTTTAAATAGAGGCCTGATAGAAGAAGCAAAGGAAAATAAACATGAAATAAACAGAAACAGGTTTATATAATAAAAAAAAAAATCACATCATTAGGTTTACTGTTGTTTTAAACGGCATTAATTTAGTTCTGCGCTCTTTTGGCAACTGAACAACTTTTTTGAAATCTGGTCAGGGATTTCAGAGTCTAACTCCGAGCACAGGGACACTCAGAAGTTTTGTATCCTAGTGTATTCCTTAGAATACCCCAAGTGTTCCTAATTTTGGCTGTAGGCTGTCTCAGTTTTTCTTTCACAACTGTGGATACTCTAACAGGCATCTTATACATTGCAATTTTAATTCCTATACTGATCTGTTACAGATCTCAGTCATAAAGAAAATATGAACTACTTAAGCTCTGAAGAAACTTTTTTTCAAGCTGGTGCTACAGGAAAACACCACTTCTGCTAACTTTGGGCCCCACCCTGTTCCTGATGTGGATACCAGTAATGCCATAAACCCATCTTTCAAGAAACTTTAATGTGGTCAGATGTTATGTTTTTTATTTGAATGCATACCTTAGAGGAATTTTCTAACAGCTCATATGCTAAATCTAACAGTCAGTGCAACTTAGGGCTTGAAGCAGTAAATTATAAAGCTACAGTAGTCAAAAACACTTGAAAGCCTAAAAGGAACATTTACAAATCTGGGAGGGCTTGGCAGCACATATGTGACTGTGCAGGGAACATTAAATTAGATGTACAGCAAGCCCAGTCTCTATGCTGCCTGGAAAGCAAGTCTAACGTGTTTAGTGTTGGTCTGGCACATGCTGGCAGCTGGGCCACCCTCAGAACAATGCTGCTGTTTCCTAAGTTTCAGCTGAGTCCTGCCTTCAGTATTACCAGTTCTCTTTTCGACAAGTGATGCATTTGGACATATAAACAAATCCCCATTTGCACACTAGTATGATAAATTTCAGATCATCCTGATCCTAAAATGGAATATGACAAAATTCAAGGAATTTAAATGTATGCAGCTACTTGGAGGAAGCTACTTACAACAAACAAGAGTCTAGTAAATCTTAAAAATCGAAGAACTGAAGATTAACTTATGCATAGAGTTATTCTGGAATAGATGATGAACTTCAATCTATGTTCCATATTAATCTGAATTCACTTCTAAGTACAGGCAAACCTTACATCACGTACTATTGAACACCATCTACTGGCACCCCCTGAACACACTGTACTCACCCTATCTCTAAATATCACATCGTGTGCTTCTGTAACATGGGATATACCTCCTTGAAAAGGATATGCTCTTTTTTACATGCACAAATTATACAAAAACACATAGTGCTGAGAATGCATATGCTCATTCAAATAGTACATCAATAACTCCTGCTTGAGAACTTAATAGCTCTCAAAGTACGTGTGTGCAGCATCTCAGGCAAACTTTCAAACCTATATGATTAAAAAATTTGGGTCTAAACTTTCAGGATGATTTACTGAAGGAAGGGCAAAATCTCAAAAACTTAAAGCAACAATTGCCACCTCTTATCTTCAAAGTAAAAATGAAATAAAAATATTAAAGAGCTATAACAAACCGTTAACTTTAAAATGCACATAGGGTCTTTTGGGGGTATGAACTTCTTTGGAATGTTTTTTATCTCTTGGGAAATGGCGTTACAGAGGATTTCAAATAGAACTGCCAAGTTTAAGAGGCTATTTTGTACAAACAGGCCAGTTGGACTGGAGCATGCATGAAAAGGGGACTCACAACCTCACTGCAGAGCACAACTCCACAGGGAGCTGGGAAATTTGCCTCAAACAAAGTCCACTAGCAGATTGTCATTATCTGGCCACCTCTGATGATTTAGGTGCTCCCTGCACCATGTAACAATCAATCAATTACTCTGATTGAACAACTCTAAAACACAAGTTTTAAAAATGTAACTACCCATGACCCAAATTTCCTGCTGGTTATGTTGGCCTCAGGTTAGCCCCATTTGTCTATCATCAAGGGAGCCAATAAAAATAATAAAAACAGGTCAATTCTGAGCTTTCCAAAGGCCGTATAAAAACATTAACGCTGCTTAAGTCAGAGCCAACTAAGGACCAAACTCTAACGCCTTCTGCTCAGTTGCATTGTTTAGACGTTCTAATGCTACAATCCTATATTCCTCAGAACATATGATTATATTCCAGAATATATTCCAGAGAGGGTTTGTGATAGATTTTTGTTGTTTTCCCTCTCTTTCCTCCACCCTCTTTACTTATTTATTTGTATAACTTAAGCTGTGCAATAATTTGCTATCCCTAAGGGTAAATGAACTGACGCCAATTTGCTGATTTGTGCAAAAGGCCTGTGTTCTGACAGATGGGAGGATAGTAAAGAAAGTACAAAAATAATTTTTAAGTTTCTAAACAGCGAGCGTGATATTGTGCTTTAAAAGTTACATTTAAAATCTGACTTAAAGGATCTACAGGAATGAAGAGGAAGTATAATAAACTTTTTAAAAGCTTTGCATTTCTGTGAATTTTTTCAACTCAGGCAATTACTTTGAATAGTAAATAATCCTGTAAGAACCTAATGCAATACCTATCATTACATGTCTTTTACACAATAGAAAATGGAGTGTGCTGGAGGGGAAAAGAAGAGGAGGGTCAGAGTTGACTTGAATTAACACGTGTCCCTGACAAAACGGAGAAGAGAACCAAGGCATTCTAATCCCTTAGCTTCCAACCCACTGTCCTCAACACATCATTAAAAATATTAAAGCAAAAAATCAACTTCAAGCAAGTGGAATTTATTTTCTTTTTGAATCCAGGAGGAAGGAGGAGATAATCTTAAGAGACTACTTCATTATGTAAATAGTCTAGTGGCTTTCAGTTTAGAAGCAAAACATTTTTAATTCCTTTAGAGGTTGCATGAGTTAACAGAATTGTTTGGAATGTGAACCACACAGCTTTGCAACAGCAAGGAGTTTACTGAAGAAAAACAAAACAAAATAAG